TATTATGACATATTATTAGTGTGTAACAACTTGTTATCTGAACAACTATTTTTATTTTTTTAATGTAGTGGGATGTAATGATTAAGAGTTATTATATTTAAGGGTTCTAATTGATTTAGTTATTGGAATACATGAGTGGTATAAATCCCTCTTTAATATTATCTTCGATTTTCATGGATTAAAAAAATAGTATAATTAGAATAGTGATTCATATAGTTTGAATAGTAACATGACTCTTTTAGTATTTTTATAATTTCTTCTCTAATTTTGTTTTCTTCTAACAAAGTGGTACAAGACTTTCGGTTATGAAAATTAAGAAAAATATTTGGTGAGTTGAGATATGATATAGTATCTTAAATTTGTTTCAATTCATCCGTTTTACTAATGAGAATTGTTATAATTAGTATTATATGAAGACCTTGTTAAATTCTTAAGATGGTTATAAGGTTGTGGAGAAAATTTATATAACTTGAGATCTTGCTACTAAATGAGAATGATATTTTGTAGAAGATGAAGAAAAATGATCAACAAGTGTTTACGTTCTTATTCTTAATGTTTATATGAAACATGTTTGAGATGGTATTTGATGCTTTTGCCTCTAAAGAAACTTAAGAGATTTTGAAATTTTTTTTTAAAAGTATTGATAAAACGAAGAAAATAAGGTATGCTTATAAACTCTACACAAATAGTTTGAATCCTTGTGAACAAAGGAGTCTAAGTCAAATTTTGATTTTGGCAATAGAATGATAATGGTTGTGAACCCAATGAAGTGTTATGGGAAAAAGATGGAAGATGCTTGTGTGGTGGAGAAATTTTTGCATTCTTTAACCGCAAAATGAATTCTCCTATTAAAAACATAAATGATTTATTGTGTCTTTTGTTGAAAGTAAACTTCTAATTTTTGATAAAGCAATAGAAGATAAAAGACCAAGACAATTTATAGAAGAAGAAATCAATGCCATAAAGAAGAATGACACTCGAGAGTTGTCAAAACTTCCTAAGGGTCATGAAGCAATTGTAGTCAAGTGGATGTTAAGATTAAGAAGAATGATTAAGGAGAGATGGAAAGATACAAAACAATACTTTTTCTAGAGGTTACAAGCAAAAACGTGGAGTTGATTATGATGAAAATTTTGCACTAGTTGCTCGCATGGAGACAATTCATCATCTTATCTCTTTAGTTGCTCAAATTAAGTGGAGAACTTTTCAACGTGATATCAAATCAACTTTACTAAATGACTATCTTAAGGAAAATATTTATGTTGAATACCAATGGATTTTGTTGGCAAAAGGCTAGAAGAAAAAGTCCTAAAATTGAAAAGAACTATGCCTAAAGCAAGCATTAAGTGCATGAAATAGCCTCATAAACAAGTACTATGGGAAAATGGATTTATTAGTTGTCAACATGAGTATGCTTTTTAAGTGAATTTGTTGATAATGGTGATATTTTTCTTGTTTATCTTTATGTGGTTGGTCTTCTTTTTACATGTAATAACCAAATTTGTTTGAAGTCTTCAAAAAAACTGTCTTATGAATTTGATATGACATATATTGGACTTATATCTTATAATTTGGGATTAGAAGCGGAACAATTGGAGAATGAGAGTTTTGTTTCTCAATAGAGCTATGCAAAGATGTTGGGGAAATTTAAAATACTTGATTGCAATTATGTAAATAAACTCGAAAAAGGTAACTTGAATTTATCAAATTTTGATTGAGGAAAGAAGGAAAATCCTACTTTGTTCAAGAGTCATAAATATTATTCATGCAATTAGTGTTATGTGCCGCTTTATGAAGTCTCCTACTTCTATTCATATGAAGGCAACAAAGATAATTCTTTATTACTTAAAAGGTACATTGATAATGGCTTGTTTTATTTCCTTCTAATAACTTCAAGCTTGTGGGATTTTCTGATAGTGACTATGTTTTTTTTTTATAAGTGATTATGTTTTTACTTGAAACTCTAAGAAGTAAGTTATTGTTACACTTTCTACTTGTGAATTCGAGCATGTAGTTGCAACTTTTTGCACGTTATTGAAGGTGATTAACGTGAAATAAGAAAAAAGTACAAAGGTTCATATTGATAATATATCTTTTCAAATATTTGCTAAGAATCCAATGTTTCATTGATAATAAATCTTTTCAAATATTTGCTAAGAATCCAATGTTTCATGAGCAAATATTCTAGTACATAGACACAATGTATCATTTCATTAGAAAATGTATTGTCAAGAAAGAAATGAAGTTAATTTATGTGAAGGAACAATATTAAGTTGCAAATATTTTCACAAAGTTTATGAAGTTTGAAGAATGTATAAGATAAATAGCTTGACTTGTGCAAAAATTATTTAAGAATTTTCTTATTAAAAGGATGTTAGGAATATTAGTTAGAAAATAAAGAGTTATTGTTGAATGAGTTAATATGTATTATGAGACATTATTATTATGTAACAATCAGGTATTTAGATGGTTATTGTTACTATGTCAATTTTGTTTGTTAAAAAAAGGTTATGTAAGTTAAACATTTCTCTAATGTGATTAGAGTACCATACATGTAGCTTAAATGAGAAAAATCGTAACATCAACTTTTCCGTAGTCTTTTCTCTATTTCTTCTAACACTAACAAAATAAATATAATTAAATTTAAAAGATAATAAGACTGATTATTTTAAACTAACCCTAAAAAATATAAATATGAAATTAAATTTAAAATGATATATAATATCTATTTTTTAAGAATAATTTTAAGGAAAGGAATGGTGTCACGATTCAAGATAAAAAAAAAATTAGAATTCAAACAAAACTTACCAAAAAAATTACATTTACATAACTCCAAAAAGATGAATGAATATTCAAACATACAATATGTCAAATGCAAGACCTAATCTCACTTCACTTGACGAATCTCTAGGAGTTTAAAGAATATTTTAGAATGTTTTATTTCAAGTTATCTTAAAATATTTTTGTAAATATAAAGATATGGAATGTTTTCTATGTTTATTATAAGATTTTAAATTTTATCACAGGAAAAAACTTTTATTTTTCATGCTTTTATTTATATACCGAAAAGGAATCGAAGGACATGTGTCGATCCCCTATTCAACCATTTTGGCCACTAAGGTGAGACACCAACACTATGGACAAAAGTACATACCACATTACTATCCTCGATCTCAACCACTCGGGTAGTTGAGACAATCGATACACTCATGTCACAGTTTCATTATGTCATCTATCAAACATTAATGACAAACTACATAGTTCACCATTACATGAGAGTCCCATCTTGGCACAATCTCGGTCTTCTCGGAGGTCGATAAGACCAAGATAAACCATTTGGGTTAACCTCGTCACTCTTGGTGACCAAGCAAACGAAGATACTTAGTACTATTAAACCTCCAAGTACATGATGAGAATTATGTAACTAATGAAGAAAGCAAACAAGATTAATGAATAATCTATCATCAATAATAGGATTACCTAATTGTTAATCAGGAAACAAGGCCCACCAAACCCAAACCCATTATGGTCACCATAAATAGTCACACAAAACAAGATAAAATTATTGTTAATTTATTACTCTTTTAGATATTTGAGTCTGTCCTGACTTGAGAATATCTTTTGTAGGCACCCTGTCCCTTTTGGAGCTCTCAACAGGGAGTTCAGAGTCCAACATAGAAATTTACTAGTGTGCCCTTAAATAAATATATATTGGCGTCCACCGTGCGGCCTAAGGTTGAAGGCTCTAAGCAATAAACAACTCTATCATAATGGTTACAATGCAAAAAAACACAATTATGGAAGACCCTCATTTTGAGGAAGACCATGTGGAGGTGGTCGATGAAACTAACCTCTCGAAGGTCACTTGCCAACTGAAAAAAGAGATGGCGACTTTACACCAACAATGTGAAAGAAACATCCAGGAATTATTGATATTGAGACAAGAGAATGGCCATTTGAGAAACCAATAGCTCTCTTGGAAGTCATCTCAATCGACACAAACACAAATTCAAGTGTCATCCTTCCCCTCACAAAGATACCACAATAGATGATGCAACCCTCTACCATATATTTCTCACTTTTATGATAACGTTTTTATTTTTTAAATAAATTAAATTTAAAATTACTATAATACCCTTAATACAAATAAACTAAATAAAAAAAATGAGTGATTTTATTGTCTTAAAATTTTGGTGTTGGTTATTAACATACTCCAACTAAAAAATAGGTAAAAGTATGTTAGCAATCTCCATATATATATCTAAGGAATGATCTGTTTACTCTAGAAGTAAATCTATCTGAACTTATTTTGTTTAATAACTCATGTTTTACATCAAATTTTTAATGTATAAATCAAGTCTATAAATTTTTAAAAAATTTGAAAATCATTTTATACTTCGTATTATTAATTCAAATTAATAGATAATCATAAAATCATTTTATACATTAATTTGAATTAATAAAATGAAATATCAAATTATTTTTATTTTTATTTTTAAAAAATTTCAAATTTCAAATGGTTATTGAGTTAAATAAAACTAAAATAAACTTACTCTTAAAGTAAGTGAATCCTTGTAAATGATTTTGTATACTCAATTTTTGTTGTTGTTGTGTGGATATAAAATGCAGTTGTCGTGCAATGAAAAAGGAGTGTAGGTCTGCCTAGTTGTGGCGGACACTGGCTACGAATTTGACTTTAAACAGTGATTTTTCAATCTTGCTTTTTCTAGTTTTCCATTCCAACATGTGTTAACTTCTATATTTTCTTCATCATTACTTAAACGATAAATCTTAACCAATACTTAACATGGAGTCCAAAAATTTTCAACCACACTTGGACTTTTATCACGTGAGAATACTTAGTGCCTCTATTATTTCTCATTTTTTTCATATTAAGGACAAAAGCTATAGCCACTCTTTCTTCACAACTTTGTCATAAACTCTAAACCTTAAAAAGTATAAAAAAAATATATATATAAAAAATAAAAGAGAGAGAGAAATAAAAGCAAAGATCCCAGCAATGAATATTAAAAAAAAAGTATGCTCAAATGATCAAATACGTCTCCTTTGTACATTCAAAAATGACTCGAATCTGTATATGAAATGGGATCACTCTACCACCTAGCACACTCCAATCAAGCATTATCATGTCATGACATATAATGAATTTTACTAGTTTCTAAGGACTTTATTCTACATCTATATTGTTTTCCCTTAATTGCAATGGAGAGTGTGAATATTTGTCAAAACTCAGAAGTCCAATACCTTTGAATCCACCATATGTAACAAAGGTTCCAAAGCACTGGGAGCAAATTTTCTGGCAAAAAGAACACAAACTGAAGAGTTCCTATTGTTGTATAGGCATTTGTGACCTCCACGAACTCTATTGAAAAACTCTTCTGTGATATCTGCTCTTCCAAACGTTGCTGGGTGAGCTCCACCCCTAGACCAGTCCACCCAAGTTATGCTCCTATTTGCCAACACATTTCCTGCTTGAATGGTGAGCATGGTGGGGAAGTAGTGCTCGTCCACATAACAAGCCGGCCGACAATATTGTTCGAACTTAGGATAAAATGTAGTGTCCTCAACGATGTTGATGGCAAGCTTTCGATTTACTTCGAACCATTGAGAGCCCTTGCGCCACTTGGTGATGTTCACCAGGGGGGCCATGTTCTCGTTGTAGCGCCCTCTTCCGAATGGACCCGGATCGTCAAACGCACCAACGAAGCTGTGTTTGGATTTCATTAAGTAATGATAGACAAAACTGAACTTGTAGAGGGGAATGCATGATTCAGATAGCAGAATGAACCACTCGTTGGAGATATCAAGCAATGCATTAGCAAGGAGTCTTCTTTCAGCATCACACATGCTCATCCTTCCCCACTCAGAAATCTGCACAAGAAACACCACAAGAAATCATCAAAGCCTGCACAAATATATTCATGTTCACAACAAAGTTAACATACATTGGAAACCAGTATAGTCTTATGTATGTTCTGTGATTGGATGAAAAACTCATTTCTAAGAAAAAATGTTAGAGGTTAAGCAAAAATCTCACACGAGATTAACCTTCAACTTCTGAACTCTAAAATGCAGCTAATTCATCGTGTAAAAGGCTAAAAGCTCATAATACATCAATGAGCTCTTAGGAACCTGTTTGGATACATGCTTTTACTAAAAATACTTTTTATTTTCAGTAGAAAAACTCTCAAATGTGTTTTTATCTTGTATTCAAACAGGTTCTAAGTTCAAGATACATATGTATGATATGACTGAGCATATATAATATGGACAAATTAATCCATACATGATCCATGTTAACAACTGAGTTAAAAGCAATGGATGCAACCACTATGGATCTGCACAAGACACATGTAAACATTGCTTCATACTCATTTGAAACAAAACCATCCTGCATAAATTGACAATTACTTTGCACCTCTTACTTTCTTAAATAGATAACAAGATTTATAATGACTTAAAGCACTAGTAAATAAAATAAAAAAAATACTGTCTATTTCATCCTACCTACTCAGAACTTGTATCTTCACTAAACTATTAAATAAAATTAGCATCTTAACAGTTTACAGTTTACAGTTTAACAGCCCGTTAAAATAATTCATGGTTCATGTTTACTGAAGCCTGAAGGGCAGTGAAGACTTTTGTAGTTTTTTGCAATTGATTAATTACACTCTTTGAGATCAAAGCCGCAGCCCGAGTCAGTGAGTTCCCCAAAATCTCATGTCAATTCCCACAGATTGCAGAGTCACTCTGGTAATATGGGGAAGCTTAGATTCAAGAAGTCACTTGAACTACAACAGCGGTATGTTAGGCTGGGAATCCCTGATATGAAAAGCAACAACCCTTAAACATAAATAGAGATATAAAACCAATCTTGTCCTTCATCTAACAATTTAATCTTTTTAGAAGAGTTAGTCCTTTATATAATATTAGAGCCTCCATGACCAAGTGATTTGGAGTTGGATCTTTTCCACCCATATTCCGCGCAATTAAGTTGAATTTCAGCACAAGACAGAGTGTGTCTGTGGATCGTTTACACCTTAAGGACAAATGACTCTAGAACCAGTCTTGTGCTTGTATCTAATAGCTTAAACTTTTAGATAAGTAGGAACTTGAGCTTGACAAACCCTAATTAGTTATACATGATGATAATTTATTAAACAAACTTTTTCATCTTCCTGTAAAATCCTAAATATGTGCAGACCATCCAATAGGACAATATCTTAAGCCCAGCTACAGACTTCTCTTAAGAATAACAAAAAGAAACAATGAATATATTGAGTTTGTTTGGATATAAGTTTAAAAGAACTTATCTTTTGAAAAAAAAGAAAAAAGAAACTAATTTCAATAGAGAAGCTCTCAAACTTTTTTAAGCTTGTATCCAAACAAGTTCATATTTGTCAATTACAGTTATACTTCTCACAAACTTAACCTTAGGAAGCAAGCTCAAGCTTAACCCCAGGATAATTTTTTTTTTATCTTTCTCCCAAACTTATGTCTCTCACATAGAACTTTACATTAGATTTGCAGAGACAATGATATTTCGTGATAGGATAATTCTGAACTTGTTACAAAGCATAAATAATTAGGTACTATACTTGATGGTTTCTATGTTCCCACTAATCTTAAAGGCTAATACATCACCATGTATACACACATTCTAAAACTATCTTTATCTTCTCAGCAAAAGTTATAATTCTTCTAATTTTGCACTGCCAACGTGAGATCACTAAACTTCTTGATTCAAGCCTCTTATAAGCCTAAATTCACATGGTAAACTTGCATTCCTTTTTTGTTCCCCTCATCAGCCTCTTCCTACGTTCCTTACCTAAAAATTTAGCTACCTGATGCACTAACCAAGTAAAACTGAAAAGAAAATCAACATTACCACCACCAGACAGAATTCAGAAGGTAAGATATAACTTTAATCAAATGCATAGATGCCATAATCAGCAATAACTAATTTATCATCAAAACCAGAAAACAAGCGCAAACGACGCCTAAAAGAAGACACAATTTGTGAACAACTTCCTGTAATACATGAAAAACATAAAAGTCAAAACTACTAAACTGGCAGCAATTAAGAATTAGCAACTTCAGATCAAGGGGGTGTCTACAAGGGAAAAATGAACAAATGCAGTCTCATCAACAACTAGTATCATAAGATGGATTGGCCATACCTTGCTAGGGATTTGCCTGTTGTAAAAGACAGATGAAGGAGGAAACTGAGGTTGAAATGAGGGCAATGAATGAATGTATATGGAAAAAAGCTTCTCATGTCCCTTGAGAAACCTCTCCCAAAGGGGTGCCAGAGGCAATGGTCCCTTGGTCAGGAACATGAATGCAATCTTGGGAACCCTTGGATAAGGGTAAACCTTGATCCTAGGAACAAAGGAAGCCCTCCACAGCAGTTCTTTGTCACTCATATTGTGGATCAGCTTCAAAGGTGGCATAATCCACTTATCCAAACCACCTGGCTCCTCATCATAACATGGCTGAAAACTCGAACTCACTGTGGTGACCACACTCTCAATTCCAAAATGCTTAACAGTGTATATGCTAATGACAGAGAACACAACGCATAGAGCTAGAAACAACACAAGTAGCTTCAGTGGTCTCAAAGGCAAACCCTTGGACTGGTTGCTCCTTTCCTTTCCCTCTTCAAGGGGCACACCCCTTGATTGCATCTTCCTTACAAATTAAAACCAACAAAACAAAATAACATAAAATCAAATCAAATCAAATCTTCTATGGCAACCAACCACCCCCTTGTAAGATCCAATTTTGAATGCAAATAAAGTCAACACTGAACACAAAGGGGTGGAATTTACGACATGGTCATCAAAACCTCAGAAAATCTCGTGACACAACGTAAATCACCCTGAGATCTAACAAGGGTGCCAAATCAACTTTTGAACATGTGATGTCGGGAATAACATGAATATAGCACATGGGTATTAACAAAACAGTGATTTTCTCAAGAAGACAAGCAACAGGTGGGATTTTTCTTATTTGATCTTACCAAACGGAAGATGAAAGTGGTGGTGCAGAGCCAGTGAATAGTGAGAAGAAGAAAAGGTGTATCATATTGACACATGGTATTGACACATGGTATTGACTAGTAAGCGTGGATTATGGAGATAGTTGATGATGATGAATGAGTGAATCTGGATATGTTGTTGCGTGTAGTGTGTTCCTACTTCCTACGACTTCTCTCACTCCTCGTATTGAGACTTGAGAGTGGCAAACTTCGTCATGTTGTGAGGAATAAGGATTCTACCGAATCTTGAAGGGGTCACAATTTTTTCTTTCTCTGATTAAATGATATTTATTTTGTACTCACTACTCACGCTTAAATGTGCATTTACAGATTTGCATGAAACTTACCGTATCAGCCGTCTGCTTGTAACTTCCGTTGTTCTTTAGGTAGGAACCGTATTTTCAGAAATTAATTATAAACTTTATTTTGGTATAAATAGAAAGGATTTTGTTTACAGATTTGAATTCTAGATTATTAAATAACGCTTTATTTTATAACTCATCTGAAAAAACTAGGTGACCACTTTTTATTGATTTTTTTAATCTTTTTCTTTTTTCATTTATATCACTCTCAGATTCGAAAGTACCAATAATTCATTGGTAGTTGTTTATTTTTTTCCTTAATTTTCTTCTGTTACAAGACAGGAGCGAGAAATAGTTTTAAAAAATTAATTGAGTTTTATTTTTATATAAATTTTGTGTTAAAAAGTGTATTGGACAGGCCTTTCGGCCACACCACTAGTTCGGTATACCTTGAGGCGTCCTCTGCCCAAGAAGTCCAATAGTTCAACACCTTCGGTAGCCGATGGCCGATTAACTATTAGGACAGGTCATACATCTTTGTTCCTTAACATTATTTGATGAGTATGTTAATTAGCCTTAATCATTGATTAACAGCTAGTCATGGACATAAAAGTAAATTATAAGCATATTATCTAATTTGGTAACCCTAGCACAGGGTCCATGGAAAATTAGGTTCATTAATGATAGTATAAATAGTTCACATCTCGAGATAAAGTTAACGTTCATTTATTATTATCGATATTTGCACTTGTCTTGACTTGGGCGTTAGAGTACCTTTTGAATGTACCTCCCCCACCGAAATATTCTCATAGAAGTCTCGTTCGACCTTCAGACTACAAGAAGATTACCAGTGTGTCCCTAGACAGGTACAAATATAATAAATAAAATGATAGAAAGAGACAAAAATGATGTTATATAAATTGTTATACAAATATTTTTTTTTTTAGATATATATATTTTTATTTTTATTTGTTTTTTGAATTTTTTTTGAGTAATAATATATGTACATTTTTTTTTCTCCATCCTAACATTTATTACATTTATTGATGACAAAAAGAAATAGATGTAATAAATATGAGAGATAAACATAAAGAATAATATTGTATAAAATTGTGTGAATTGATGTACAAATATAATTTTCCTTTATTTTTTTGCCGCTATGTGTAATTATGTACAAAAGAAAATAACCATTATGATTGTGAGCTGAAATAGTATATATGAGATGGTAAGTTCTAACTTCATGATACCATTATACACTAAAAAAATGTATAAAATGAAATACTTTAATACAAGAAAAATGTAGATGGGTTAAAATTTAAATATAAAGATTTTAAAAGCAGTACGTACAATACAATGTAAAAGCAAGATAATTACTATTTCTTATGTAATTTATGCAATACGTTACTATGTTATAAAATTCCATCAAAATAATTTCACTTTATTTCATTAAAAATCTTTTCATTCCATTTCCTATTAAACTTGTAATTATAGTTGTATAATATTTCTCTCTATTCATATATTTTATAAAAACATCCACGATGTAAGTTGTTTAATAGTATATATTATTTTATTTTTTTAGTCTTACATCACATTTTATCTCTATTCATCTATTTTATAAAAACATCCACGATGTAAGTTGTTTAATAGTATATATTATTTTATTTTATTGAGTCTTACATCACATTTTATCTTATTTTATTTTATTGTGTCTCACATTATACTTAAGTATTTAATTATATTTTTACTCCAATAATAAAATTTTAAGTGTAATCTTTACTATTTTTTTTCTTCTAGATATGATTTACTGCTTTTTTTCTCCCCCCCCCCCCCTCAATTTAATTATGTAAAAAAATATTTTTATTCATAAATTACTATATCTTATATAAAACATGAAATATAATTTAAAATACTCTCTATGTCACATAAGCTCAATTCAATTGAAAAAAGTTGCTGAAATATAAAATATCTATAAAATATTAACATGGTTGACGTCCTCAGACTAATTTTATTTTAAAAAAGAAAACATGAGTGTTAGTTCAATTTTATACATTTAAGTTAGGTTAATTTCAAGAAAATATGTAACCTAAGTATCCACGCAGAGCACATTATTGATAAAGACCATTTGGTGCACCGTTGTGGTTAAACTATAACTTTCTGCACCAAATATTTCATTCTCTTTCTTAATTCTTATTTTTATCGCCAAAACCATTTGGTGGACATGAATTTGGACTTTCATGTGATTATAGCAATTTGATCGAAGGGATCCATCGTTGTTCTTTCAAGTTTCAAGTTAACAATTTATTTAAAAATGCAACTACAATTTTAGATACACTTTGGCAATAAGCTTGCTCAATCTCTGCCTTAAAAATTTGTGAATGCTATCATGCACTACACTCTTGTGGAAAAATACCATTCATCTTATTTATCCACAAGTAAATTTATCTATTTCATATATTATAATAAAAAATAATAGATTAAATGCAATTTATTTATTAAAATTTATGAGTGATTAATAATTCATCTATTAATTTTCAAAATTCATTAAATTATAATATGAGATATTTATTAAATTTCAATTTTAAAAATTATTTTGACATAATTTTTTTTAATGAATTTTAAAAGATTATATATGAATATAATAATTAATAAGAAAAATGATAAAGAAATAAAATATTTAAAATATTATTTTCATGAATATCCGTCTATCAAAAAAATATGTTAATGGATGAATTGGATGATTTTTTTCTTAAATGAATTGGATGGGTTAAATTTTTAAGTAAAATTTTAATAGATTTAAATGAATTATAAATTATTTTTATCCAATCTATTATGATCCATCTAAAAAAAATGTCATCCATCCATTTGTCACCATATTCACTAATGACAAGTTGATAACCAATTACAATTTTTTGTGTAAAAGTTGGATATTTTACAACTATTTCTAAATTTAAAAAAAAACTTCTAAAAATAATAAAAATAATTCTATTAATTGAATTAAAAAATTACCAATAATTTTTTATTTGAATTCTTTAGTTAGAAAATAAAGATTATTTTTTATATATTTATATTTATTTAAGAGATTCACGTTTCTATTAATTTTCTTTTATTATTGTCATTGTAATTTTTACTTTAAAAAAAATCACGAAATAACCGCAATTTGTTGTTACAACTCTAATAATAAATACGTATGTGATTTAGTAATATTAACAACGTAATAGTAATTTTGAATATACTTTTTTAAACACATTTTTTATTTTTTTATTATTAGTTACATTTTTATTAAAATTTATATAAAAAAATATGAAAATAACTTCACTCGTAATTTATAACAAATTTTTAATAAAGCCAAATAGTATATTTAAAGAGTTAATCATCTATACATTGTTAGTGTAAAGTTTTTTACATTGGCAACCAATCATATCTTTTAAAATTACTTATTTTATTATTATTTCATTAAATAAGTAGCTGATATGACACTATTAAAAAATATAATTGATTATCAGTGTAAAAAAAACTTTACTGGCAGTGTATAGGTGATTAACTCATATTTAAAAAGGTATTAGAAAATATGTTACAAAAATTTAACAGCAAACATCTTGTGGTTTTCCATAACCGACCTCCTTAAATATTGAGAGATATCTTTCACATGGTGCTCAAAGACCTGATTAAACCCCTTCAATTTAGATCATTGACGAATTGGATCCACTTATAGTGTAGAGATTGTTGCCCCTTCAATTTTTCTAATATTTCTAAATACAATAAACATGCATATTTATAAATTGTTCAAACAATTTAAAATTTAGTTAAAAAATTCAATTTAGATTATGAATATGCTCCCACAAATTTATTTATAGTTTCATTATTCTTATTTTTTCAACTAGACATATTTGACACCCCTTCTCTTCTTTCTTTTAGTTTTGCATTTCATCATGAACTATCTCTACTATTTGTCAAAAACATATATTTTCAATCATTTTAAACTACTTTTATTGTATTTGTATACTTGAATGTCTTTTAATTGTCTATCCCTTTCAATCTACCTTATATTTTCTATCTTTCAGTTGAATTTTTATAATTTTTAAAATAAATTATTAATAGTTATATTAAAAAATATTTATTGTTCAAATTTTAATTTTATAAAATAAAAATTGATAGTATAAAATGTACTGACGAACGTACTAATTTATATATTTGAATACTGGCCCACACAACTTAAAATTTTTAAATCCGTTGCTATTTAAAATAAGCTGAAAATCATAAGATGAAAATAGTGAGAAATTAGTTCAAAAGGTGAAACATATCAGTGATATCACATACCTCTCTAACTCTTCCTAAAGGCTAAAGCATAGGACAGCATGTAAATTCCTTTGAACTGAATAGACAAATTTTGGGGATGGGAGTATGGAGTTACTGGATCAAAATTTTTAAAAATTTAAACCAAAATAAATCAGTCTATTTTATAAAAATAAATCAATTAATCAATTCTATTTTTAGAAAATAAATCAATTCAATTTTTTTAAAATATGGATCAAATTTTTTAAATGAACTGATCCAATATAATGCAATTATCTAATTTATATCTATGTATGAATCAATTTTTTTATAAAAGTTAAACCAAATTGATCCACTTTGTAAAAATATATTAGATAATTAAATCGATTTTGTAAAATGAATCGATTTGAATTTTTCTATAGATCGAATTTTTTTCAAACTCCATTGTGGGGGAGGTTTTACGTAGGATGACCATGCATACAAAAATACAACATTGATAATGAAAAGTGAACTTCATCAATGTTGGAGGAAGGTAATCTATATTGGGACAAAGACATTGAGACAATGCACATTTCAAAACATGAAATGACAAGTGAACTTCTTCAATCACATGGAACTTCATGAAATACGACAGGGTTAACATGTAATGTTAGAAGATCCCACAAGCTTTTTGCCTGATTATGTTATATGATGCAACCCAAAGCTCAAAAGCTCATCTAGAAGAGAACTGTCAATTTTATACATCAAGAAAATATTCGAACAGCAAACCAGTTCTCTCTACTTCGTCACTTCAAAAGTAGCTCGAAGATTGGATATCATGACTGGACACTCTCCCTTCTCATCATAATCGGCATAGTCTCCACTTGACAAATCAACATTATCAAACTTGGTTCCCTCCAGCTACAAAAGTACAAGTTACACTAATTAATTAGAAATGCGACTAACATGTAGAAAATTTAATTGGTGTCACAAAAAAAAAAAGTCTAGCACGTGTGTCAAAATATTGCAATTAGGTGAATAAATTATGAAATCAGAGGATAGGTGTTACCAAGGTTATCAATCTCGAGAATTTACATAATCTCGTAGAGACTTCGTAAACTCGTAAGAGATTACTCAATAAAAAATTATAAAAATAACATAATAATTGAACATTTTAACTCTATATTAAAGAGTAAAATAGAAAATTACATTAATAATAAATGTTCTTAACAAAAGTTCACACAAATGACAAAACACAAGTCCTTAACAATAGATAATTAAAAAACTAAGACATCACATGAGTAATATCTTCAAATCTCCATGTCTAATCCTCTAATAGTATCATCTCCAACTCTAAGGTCTTCATCATCATTTCCATCATCACCATAAACATTTTCCTCGGATGAATGCTCACTAAGATCATCATCAAAAACCAATTTGTCAAAAGATGAAATGCATCCAAAGTTGGATTACTTGAGCTTGAACCTCCATCATCCAATTGCACATTAACACCATCACCTTCACCTTGAGGTTGCTCAACATCAACATTCTCTTTACCAACATTGTCCCCTTCTTCAACTATCCATTCATCATCTGATTGAATATCGTCAAATGGAAGAGTAATTATTTTCCTTATTACTTTACTTTTTAACTTCAAGTCAAGTTGTACATGACATACAATCATTCATCTTTTTTTGATGCAAACAATTTCTCCTTTTTGTATGAATCTAGAAAATAATATACAAAAATATTATGATCAATTGATCATTTAATTTAAGTCTAAAACTAAAGAAAGAAATTTGAAAACCATAAAAAGGTCACGAACTTCAATTATCATTTCAAATGAGTTCCAATTACGCTCACATCCAGAAGAACTACAAGTCAAGCTTAAAACCCGAATGGCAAACCTTTTCAATTCTAGACAATGATCCCTGAACATCTCCCACCATTTTGCAGGAAGCATTTCCTTCCTACATTCCTTTGTATCATCCAGGCCAAAAAGGCCTCTAGTATAATGAAACTCAAGAAACTGCATAATAATTTTTGTTCTTATTGCAGGATCCTTTACCAATCTTTTCATACAATCTAACAACCCATGCTTTACCTCATGATTATCATTTCTAAAATTAGCTTCATAATGTAATTGAGGATTAAGATAATATCTAGCTGCATGCAAATGCTTATGAAGTTGACTATCCCATCTCTTATCAATAATTTCCCATATAGGTTCATAGCTACACAAATACCAAATGTAGTATATTAGAAATAAATGAAATAACTACACACAAATAACAATTAAATTTTAAATGAAACAAACTTTAGAAATCTTACCTTTTTTTATATGAGTTAATCACCTATATACACTACCAGTGTAAAGTTTTTATACACTAGTAACCAATTATATCTTTTAATTGTGCCATGTCACTATAAACACATTTACTTTTAAATGTGACATGACACAATTAATAGATATAATTGGTTGCCAGTGTAAAAAAACTTTACATTGACAGTGTATAGGTGATTAACTCCTTTTATATTATTAAAGTTGCTCTGAATCCTTTCTTTTGCACAATCTATCTCCTCATATATAAAACCCATGGCGGGTTTTATATCAGAATCCACCAATCGAAGGACTACCATAAGAGGGGCAGCAACTTTGAGGCAAATGGTTACATTCTTCCAATATCGACTATCTAAAATTGTATTTTCAATTTTTCTTCCCTCTTGTGAAGTTCCAAACTTACTTTTCTTCCACTCTTCAGAGTTAAACATGGTCATCAATGATGCTTTCACTTCATGGAGACAAGATAAAGTCAAATAAGTTGTTGCAAATCTAGTCATACAAGGCCTAATCAAATCTCTTCCTTTTGTAAACTTTTTTAGCATGCTTCTACCATATATGTAGGTAGTGATCCTCCTCCCCTTCTTTATAGTAGTTTGATGAACCTTCAGGTGTTTCTCAAAATCCTCAAATATCAAATCAATGCAATGGGTAGCACATGGGGTCCAATACAAGTTTTGTCGAGTTTGCATCAACAATTCTCCTGCTGCCTTGTAATTTGCAACATTATCAGTAACCACTTGCACTACATTCTCTTCTCCAATTCCATATTTTCCAATCATCTCACACATTTTGCAAATGCTGAATTTTTAATAACATTGAATGGAATGGCACTTGTGTAAAAAAATTCAGCAACTTGAGCATCAACTTGCAAAATGTGTGAGATGATTGAAAAATATGGAATTGGCTATAAACCTCCATCCTACCATGATATTAGAGAGAAGCTCTTGAAACAAGCAGTCAAGAACACCGATTTATTACTTGAAGAATATAAGGAGGAGTGGAAGAGAACCATGTCTGATGGGTGGACAGATAGAAAAAGGCGATCTATTTGTAATCTTTTTGTGAATAATCCAAAAGGTACTGTATTTTTATATTCATTGGATACTTCTGATATCTAAAAAACTATTAACAAAGTTTTTATGATGTAGTGGCATATGTTGGAGAAGAGAATGTAATGCAAGTGGTTACTGATAATGTTGCAAATTACAAGGCAGCAGGAGAATTGTTGATGCAAACTCGACAAAACTTGTATTGGACCCCATGTACTTCCCATTGCATTGATTTGATATTTGAGGATTTTGAGAAACACCTGAAGGTTCATCAAACTACTATAAAGAAGGGGAGTAGGATCACCACCTACATATATGGTAGAAGCATGCTAAAAAAGTTTACAAAATGTTCTTGTCTTTCATATGAGATAAGGATGAGAGTGATTGGAGTTGTAGAACTCTCTATGGGTTGTTTTATGTGAAGGTTGTCAGTGTAGAAATACGTGATTTTGATAAATTGCATGTGATACATGTTGTATGATGGGTTAAATTGGTGAACATGAATAGAATGCTTGTGTCTATTGCATGTTTTGTGTTATAAGATGATGATAATGAGCATTGATATGCTATCTTTGTGTACTTGAAATGATAATAAGCACTGGAATGCTATCCTTGTGTAGTTGAAATGTGATGAGCATTGATATGCTTTATATGATTGATATGCTATGTTGAATTAATTGTGGAGCATAGATATGCTATTATTGTATGAATTGTTAAGCATTGGTAGGCTGTTATTGGTTAAGATGTTAAGCATTGGTATGTTATACATGATTGATATTGTTGATCTCTATATGCATTGGCTGGATGTAATGTATATAGTAGATGTTTGATGAGGTGTGGATGCTGAGAATGTGGTGTGACATTATAACATGATGGCTAACATAGGATTTGAAGAGAGAAAATTATTTCGAAAACTGAAGATCCTTCATAGGATATCTTGGAGTAGTGCTCGGGTAGGCCACTGTTTGGAAAACCCTCCTTGAGTAGGTGTATCTCTTAGAATAGGTTTTGAGGTGTGTTGAGTCTCCTCCAAATCCTTAGTTATTGGTTGAGTAAGGTAGGCGGTCGAGGGCTATAACCCTTAACCAAGTACTTGGAGAGGTTGTGTGGTTCCTCAAGGATAATTAGTGGGTGAATTCCATATATGATTTGGTAATGCATGACAAAGTTGTGATAAGCCTATACCCAGTTGTATTACTCCTGACGGTGGAACCGAACTTTCCTAGTATAAGTGATGAGACCCGAGAAATCATAGGAGGGATTAGTATCCCATTTTGCTGTAATCGAGCCGATGTTTCGGGCATGAAAACGATTGGGTTGATTCGGTAGGGTGGAAATCACTTAGACTGTTCATGTTGTTAGGAGATATGAGTTGAAATGCATGACAACACATATGTGTTGATGAGTTGATATTGTGATGATATGAGTTATATGTGTTGATGTGTTGTGAAGGTGTTGTTGAGATGTGTGTTGTTTATGTGTTGTGCGTTGTATGTTGAATAAGTTGATGATGATGATAGTGTTGCTAGATTACCTGTGTTGTAAATTGCTTTTAAATATATGTTTAGGGATGACAAAAATACCCGTACCCGCGGATATCTGTGGATAAAATCCGCTACGGATAATAAATGGATAGGCTAATTGGGTACCCGCAGATAATGGGGACGGATAATTTTTTACCCGTTTATAAATGGGACGGGGGCGGGTATGATGATATCCATACCCGCGGGTACCCGTTTAATATTATTTCTTAAATATCCTAATTATCCTTGTACCACATAACCCTAAAACTACACTCTCTCGTCTTATTTTCTTACAAAAGTGAGGTTGATGAAGTTACCGACATGTGTTAAGCATGTTATAGAATTATGTTGGATGTAATTTGATTAATTTTCTAG